CTGATTGTAATCATCTCATGGTAACTTGATTTATCTTTGTTATCCTTTGAATCCCCCAAGAGTAACAATTGTACATGAACAAGATAAACAAATTGTTGATTACTGATTAAGTTAACAATTCTGATCATTAACTCATGTCAATATTATCAATTGATATTGTTATGGTAAATCAACATGTTGACAATGAATCAATCATAATCGTTCAATTCAATTAATCTATTGATTGGTAATATGAAGGGAGAAAAGTTGACAAAACAATTTCGATCAACTTTTTCGAGAGAAAAAGTTTTATTCAACTTTTTTCACCTCCAATTATTAGCTCAATGTTCATACTAACGAATTGAATTTAAAATCGTCAACCTTTCTGGTCACTGGACAATTAACTCTCTGGTTATGGTTATATTTCAGTTTCCTGGGTAAATCAATCGCTCAGATGATAAGTTTCATTTGGGAATATTTATCGTTGTTGATTGCCGAACAATTTGAATCAAAAATTCTGATATAAGTAATTGAATATTAGATTGAATCTTGATCATGGGAAACTCATGAAATTGCAATCAAATAATCAGTTCCAAAAGATTAATCAGAAACTGATTTTCTGTTAATATTTCATCTTATTATCAATTATGATAACTTATTCAATGAGTAAGGTGAAAATTCATTTTAACTAAATGATTTTATCATGAAAACCAAACTCAGAATTCATGGCTAGGATGAGGAAAATTCACTTTTCTCTATTTCTCTTTATCTCAAGAATTCATGATTTATATAATATTTCAACCTCTCTGTCTCCCGAACATCATTTTACCGTTATCATGTTAACAATAATAATAAATTTCGATAAATTATTGCTTCGATTTCAAATGAACTTCATGATCCACCATTATTTTTACAATTCTATCGCCAGCCTCAAGTCATTCAGAACTTTTTCTTGTTATTATCTCAATAATACAAAATAATGGGAGTTTTTTTTCTTCTTCTTTGGAAAGAAAAATAATTTCCAGAACTGATAGATGGAAATAAATTACAAATAACATCCGAATTTATGAAAACTAGTTCAACAGAATTGAATTAAATGTATGAAGATTCAGAGGAAGCTCAAAATCAATCAGAATTAAATATTTTTTAATCGTTTTCATAACTTTTTGCTTGGAGTTTTTTTCTTGCCAGATGATAAAAAAAAAATCTATTCAGATAAATGATTATCATTATGATTCTGATTCTGATCGTTAAATTGTTCAGGAAGCTGCATGTCTATTAAATGAACAATTTAATAACACTAATAATACTCAGAATTAACAATAACTGTATCAATGTTTCAATTTTCATGGCATTTTCACCCACAAGAATGAAAGTTATACTCTCTGATTAAATTTCTTGCACAGAACTGAGAAAAACAATTCTATACCCAGAATTTAATAATAATGTATAATGTAAAAGTTCAGAATAAACTTTTTTTCTGTATCATCATCATGATTACAATAAAATATCACATTTGCATGAGTCTGATATTTGATATTTAATGAAGTAATTTGTGAGAATGTTTTGTTTCCCCTGAATGATTGAAATGAGTTACATTAGAATCAGAATTTTCAATAATGGTAACAGAGACATTTAAGACTTTTGATACTATTAATAGTTAGATATTTTTTTGATTTCTAATCTAAATCATGTTGATGAAGATACTGAATTGAATTTCATGATAACTCTGATCTGGAAACTTATGATCTCTGATGTTTCAAAAGTGGAAGTTTTTTTTCAATGAAAAAAAGTCAAAATTTTCTTGTTTATTTCTCAATATTAATCAAACTTAAAATCTCCTGTGATTATATTTCATGGAGAAGGTGAAGTTCTGATCAATTCTGACATTTTGTCTTCTTTTTCATTGAACATGGAAAAGTAATCTTCTTATTTCTCTCTCTTCTTATTATCTAATTCATCGAGACTTTAATTTAAACTTGGAATATGATAATTCAAAAGGCTCTTCTTTATTCTGATGTTGAATTTACCATGAAAATTTGAAGAAATTAATTTCACAACATTTTGGAATAGCCGATGAGAAAAGTAAACATGAATATTAAGAATCTTCATGGAGTTTACTTTCCAGTGAATAACTCGATTACCTTGAGATTATTTTCTATCATTCTGATATTCCAGAACCATGTTTCCTATCACACCATCAGGGAAAGTTCTGACTGAATGTAAAAAAAACAGGAAAGTAAAAAAAGGTAAACAAAGTAAAATAAACACGAAAAGTTTTTCGGTTAACATGAGATTTCAATATGATTCAAATGAATCTCTCTCGGTACAATTAGTTTAATCGTTATCACATCAATTAATTGGTTCAATTTTAAACCTCTTTTAAATGTCAGTTGATTGTAATTGTTTTCCCCTTCCAATGTTACCCTTTAACCTTAACAGTTACTATTTAATCAACATTTTGACTCGGGTTAATTGCCTAAAGGTGAGAGAGACTTTTTTTTTCTTCTTGACTCCTCATTGTTTTTATTATCATTCTTTACCTCTGCTTATCATGTTATCCTGAGGAGATGATGATGATGATGATGATGATCACCACCATCAAGATAATAGTGATGGTTTATTTAATGAGAATCTATTTAGGAAACTGAAATACTTGAGGAACAAAAAAAGCGAAAAATAAAAGTAAAAGGAAACAGAATATAAGTTCAATGAGTTATCTTCCTATTCTGATATTGGGATGGAAACTTTTGCGCTTCATCCAGTATCTAATCGACCATCAATTGATTACTCATCTTCATCTTCGAACCTTTTGTTTATCATGGATTGATTCAATTCCAATGGAACCTCTTGAAATTTATTGATAAACGTTGTCTTTTAATTTCTATCTCATCTATTGATTCAGTTGACCATATGATGACCAGTATGAATCTAGAATATAAATTGACACCATGATTCTGATTCCAATAAATTATTCTGGTTATAAGGAGCTCGTTTTAAAATCAGACCTTTTATAATTGTCCAATTATCGTAGTTATAATTTGTGATTTGATAACAGTAATTAAGGGAAATTATTATATTGATCACTGTTGGTTTACTGACTCAGTTGATTCAGTAATTGTTATGAGTTTTTTGGCGATAAATAAGCAAACAGGGAATTGATTAGTAATAATATTAATATGAAAAAACGATTAGAAATGATGATAAGAGATGATAGCTTGTTAATGGAGAAAAGACCATCATCATGGTCATCATATTGAAAGAGAATTATCATTTCTCGGGCTTAATGATGAAGGAAAACAAATTAAATTGTTAGTTGATTGATCCAATGGTCAAGCTAGAAAAAGGGTTGATGATATTTGAAGAAATCGTTGGTCTTCATCTTCTGGACAGAGAAAATTATTTCATCACAAAGATGAGAATGAGTAGATGAGATTTTGATTGGTTCCATCAGTAATTCTCAGTTGAAAGGGTAAAAACACTTCTCATCATCATTATCTTCCATTTCTCTCTGTCTCTTTCTTCTTTCTTTCTTTCTTTCTTTCTTTGTGATGTGTACATCTTACTTTCGATCTCTTATCATCATCATCATCTTATTCTCTCTCGTTACTTGTCTTTCGATTATTCTTTAGAAAGAAAATTGTATGAGCAACAAAAGAGTAACACCAAATAATAATGGTGACCATTGGTCAGTCATTTCTAAGGAAAAAATTATCACAATAATCAATAATCTGAATTGGTCAAGGAATTGAAGGAAATCTAAGATATTTCCTGTGTGTGTGTGTATATGGTTCACTTATCAACTCCATTTCCGAGTATAACTTTTATCGAGTAAACAATTTTTCATCAATAATTTCAAACTATGAGAAAAATTATTCAATCCATTTATTCAGTTATTGGGGGGTAATCGTCATGATCAACAGGGAAAAGATTAGATATCATATGATTGGAATCAAAATAATATCGTTCATTCATCAATGTCTGATATTAATTTTTGAAGAAAATGGATCTAAGTTATTGATAGAATCAGTGATATAACGGAAGATTCATAATTCAACATGAATAATTACTGAATATCCGATCGAAACCTTTAACCCGTCGTAACGGAAAGTAAATAATTCGAGTGACCTTATTTGATTAATTCAAATTCTAAACATATAATCATGGTAACAATTGAGAAACGAAGGCGTAAACATAAGGTTGAAAGTTGAAATTTTCGAGAGCAACATGGTAAAGGCGTGGTGCCTGTGATATTATACGAAATATATAAGAATTGATTCATTCAGAATCAGAGCAATCTTTATGGATCAATTCTCTTGATTGTGATAACTCTGATTTTTCCTTGAAAAATTCTGGTTCAGAAAGAAAAATGAACCGAAAATTTGATTTCTTTCTGACAATTAACTGAATATAAACAATATTTGAAGTTCCATTGTCAACTAATACACAACATGAGAGAGAAAAAAAACTTTACTATTATTACAGTTTTCGAAAAACTTTTCGAGTTGAAAAATATATGGATTAATGTATCACTCGAAATCAGTTTTCATGGTGATCATGATAGTTTCTTTTGTCCACTCATGAGGCTTTCTTGGTGGGTGTTGATGTAATCATTAGATTATCGAATCAAGCAAATAATATTTGACAATAATATATATTAATATGAATAAGAATTAGCTGATATTCATGTTTAACCAGAATAATAATCAGAATCCCCAGAAGATATTTCTTGTATTATTTTTGCTGATTTTTCTCATATTATTATTATGAATATTATCCTAGAGTCTTGTGAATATCTTAAGATAGTGAGAGAGAAAAAAATATATGATAACAATATATACAACGATAATAATTCTGAATATGATGGTGATAAATGTGAATACAATTATTAGAGAAAATCAGGTTGGCAGAAAATTGTCATTATCTTTGTCAGAATTCATTGTCTTTACATGTTCATTATTATTGCGAATTAAATTTTTCATCATGTCCTATTTTGTCTTCTCTTTTCTTCTCATCATCAGCCGATTGTCCATAATGTCGTTGATACGAACCATCTTCATCAACTTAATCATAATCATAATCATCTATCTCATTATCCGTTCGGTGGTTACTTTTATCTCAACTGGTCGAACCCAATTGTTCAGACAAATATGATAAGTTGCCTTCAATTCTGGTTACAACATGGAATCGATGGGTTTTACCTGTTAAATATTAACGAAATTCACCTTGACCCTGAATACCCTGAGGCGATTTTAGAAATTCTTGACTCAGTTCGTTCTTATGTAACCTCATTTCGATCACATTCTTGGCCAGGAGAGAAAATTTTACTCGCCAATAGACAATCTCTTGATATAATTAATGAAAGACTTCGATCAGCTCGAGCTGACCAATTATTAGATCATTTTCATCATCCTCATCATCATGATAACTTATTTCCAGAGGCAATTCAAATGGATGATCAAGTTATCAAAGGGTCAAGGAAACATATTAAATCCTCGCCATTTAGGTCAACTAATAATAATGAAAAAAATGTATATTATTATTTTGATCTGGTCAATATTTTCTTAACAATTGAGCTCAATTCATCGGATATTATTCGTGATCAAGTTAACGGGTATTTCCTTAATACACCTAAAAGCCGCCCTTGGGTCCTTTGGTCAATCGGAAGTGTCACCAAGTCCCGTTTAGCGACAAGAGTCGGTAAAGATTACACATTAGTTTCAACCTTTCTACTCGTCATGTTACCTGGATCGATAAACTTTTTTTACGGCGACGAAATTGGTCTAACTGATGCGATCGACTCAGTATCAGGAAAGGTACTAAAAAGTTTCTATCGAATCAACAACAACAACAACAAGTCAATGAACGATAAAAAATCTCTAATCGATATTGGCCCATACCCAATGAATTCTAATACAAAAATGATGAGAAAATTTTCCAAATTTTTGCTCGAGAAAAAGTGAATTTTCAGTTCCATTCCTCACAAAATAGTTCTAAGCTTATGCAATGTGATCTCATTTCGTAAAAAAAAGTTATCATGAAAAAATTGTTCTCTTTCTCATTGAATAAACAATTTTGAAGAAAAAAAAAGTTCTGATCAAATAGAAGAAGAAGAAAAAAGTTTCAGAACTTTTTCTTTTATCGTTCTCTCTAATTTACAATAAGTCATCATGTTAAGATTTAAGATGATGATGAACATGATGATGATGATGATCAACATAATCTTCTTTGTCTTTTTCTGTTATTTTTGAGCTGAGAAAGAAACAGTTTCATTGTAACTTTGAAAGGTCATTAATTTAAGGTTAGAATCAGATCTTGGTTACTGATAGAATCAGAGCTAAATAACAATGTGGATCATATTATTATTTATATCATCATCAATTCAATCTCATCTTTTCATCCTTTTGTTTATCATCTTCATCTTCATCTTCATCTTATCTTTGAAACTTTCTCTCAAAGGACTTTGTTATATTTTCTCATCATTTACTGTTAGATTTAGACTTTAGCGTTAACTAAGAATCGAAAAGTATTGAGAAAGAATCTAATTGTTAAAGCTAAATGATCAGAGAATTGTAGTTGATTTCTTTTCAACTTTTAATTAGTTTGATAGATTGAGATGTGTGGGTGATTGTGAATTGAATTGATTACAATTCAAGGATGAAAATATTATCAATTATGGTGTAAATGGTTAATTATCCTGAAAAAAAAGTTTCCGAAAACTTTTCACTTATGATACTTGTTATTGTATTTTCTTTGAAACTATTTTGGTAACTTATCGTTGGCTTGAATTTAGCTGAGGTCAATGAGCTCATGAGATTATCATCGTTTAATTATGGTCTTAATTTAGATGATTCTCTGTTAATTGTGATGGAAAATTTTTCAATGGTTTTAATTGTTTTGTTTTTGTATTTCGTTCAGGAATATCGAGCTGGTCAATTGTGTCCAATCCCTTGGACATCAGAATTGAATGGAAACTTTTCCAGTGGAAATTTATCTCATCCTTGGCTTCCGGTTAATTCAAATTATCTATTGAATAATATTCAACGAGAGTCTGAGACAATTAATCGTCTTCAACAGTTAATTGGTTTTCGTCAATATAATTTAAGGTCAGGGTGGACGGAGAAACAGGGAAATTATTTATTCCATTATGTTAATGAAGGTTTTCTTGCCCTTGAGCGATACTTTACTCGGACAATGGTCACTGGAACCATTTTGAGACATCGATTTGTACTTTTCGCAAATATTGGAACCATTGGTCGAATAAAAGATTTTACCGATAAATTTCACTTTGGAACAATTAAAATTACATCTAATCCAAAGAGAATTCAAGATTTTCTCTATTTAAGATCTTTAAACTTAGAACCAGGGGAGGCTTTAATTGCCGAAATGGAATAAAAGAAATGATTAACTAATCAGGTAAATCGATTTTAGAATTTTTGTCCAAAATTCGAATTTAAATTTATGTACATAAAAAGTTGTTAAATTCTAATTCTCTGTAAATACTAATCTATTTATTATGTACCGGAAATGGTACTTTGAATATCCTTTTCCTGAAGGAATTTAAAAACTTTTTGCTTTTCAAATTTTCGCGGTAATTTAATGTGATTTATTTTTATTCTAATAGATTCTGATTAATCAAGTGACCAGATAAATGATTGATCAACTAATCAGCAAAATTTTATGAATGATTGTCGCTGATTAAATTGTCAATTTACTTGATTGTAAACTAATCACCAATTGTAATACATTTTCAATTCAAATTGTAAGATAAAAAAAATGAACAATGAAACATTTTTGCTTTGTAAATTGTAAACATAAAATTTATTGTTTAGTGCCTTCAAGTTAATTGTAATTATGTTAAATCTTATTGTTTAGAAATGAAAAATAAAACAATTAATAATTTAACTTATTTAATTGTGTTAATTAACTGAGACAACTAAACATAATCACAATGGCTCGGAGTCTTGGAACATTTTTAACAAGATTCGGATTGATCAACGACTATTAAGATAATTGTTGATAATTTTATTGATTAGAATTGATTTGATTACATTAAAAGTGAACAACAATTAAAAAGAGGATTTTGAAAATTAAGATGAAACAAAATGATGTTATTAGAAGGATGGATTAGGAGGAGGCGGAAGATGAGGATGCTAAGGGATGAGGATGGTGAAGATATTTTTAGTCTCGTAAATGATGAGGATGAGGATGAGGATGATGAGGGAATTTATGTTCATCTCTTGAGTAAAGAAGAAGAAGAAGACAAAGTGATGAGTCTTTATTTTTATTTTTGTTTTTAACTCGAAATCATCTTTAGAATCTTCATCCTCATCTCTTAGCATCTTCATCTTTTTTTTTCTCTTCAGTTTGTTGTTGGCCAGTTTCCAAAAAGGCTCGCAAAAGGCCAGATGTCTTAAAATTAGAATATGAATGAGAAATGTGAGAGCATCTTCATCTTCTTCATCCCATGAAGTCTCATCTTCATCTCAGTCTCTCTCTCTCTCTCTCTCTCTCTCTCTCTCTCTCTCAAAGGAAATGTAAAGGTCTCGTCATCTTATCTTCCATAGTTTCTTCATCATTAACATCATCTTCATCATCGTCTTTAAGTTACATTGATTCACCCATTAAGTTTTAAAGGATGTTGTTGGTGTCTTGAGAGGGGGTGAAAAGGGAGCAAAAGATGATCAAGATGAAGATGAAGATGATGATGGTGAGAGAGAAAGAGAGAAAGAGTGAGCAAGTGAATCGTTTTCAATATAAATACAATTTTCTCAACTTTATGAATTGTCAATTGTTACCAACATTCAACGTTCCAACTGTAAAATGTTAAATTCATTTACAATCCAATATTTGTGATCGTCATTCGGCTTAATCCTAATCCATCATTTTAGGTACTCAAAACTTTTTTTTTTACTCTTTTTTCTTTTAATTGTCAAACATTTTCTTCTTTCTCTGTTCTACCATTTAACATGATAATTATCACATTCGATTGATTAGAACACATACTTCTGGACATCGCCATATTTAATTACTATGTGTATATGGAATGTAAAGAAGTATGAAGTTCTTACAATCCTGAACAAAATCATCATCGATTATAATTGTAGCAACCTCGCCTTCTAAATTGAATCAAGGTTGAATTTAAATCAATTTATTTTAATTTCATTTCATTTTCTCTTCTTCCTCGAGTTGAGAAGGAATAAAAAAAAAGTAAACTAACAGAACGAAACAATTTTTTCCTCTCTCAAATCATAATCGAATGTCATTTTCTTCAGCATTTGATTTTCGAGGTAAGTTCAACATTCAACAACAATTAAAATTATTTTCTTCTTTAGAAAATTATTGACAAGATCTTCTTCTTCTTCTTTCTCTTGTAAACATAAATCAATATGTATTCTTATTTGTAAAAATAAATTTCCAACAATTATCAATATCTTTAAGAGTTTTTAAATAATTTTTACTTCGTTTCTGTTGATAGAGAAGAAAAAAAATCTTTTTCCTCACTATTTGAATTTGGCGCTTTTCGTTTTCAGATTTTTTGCTCATGCGCAGAATTTTGTTTTCTTTTTTTTCGTATTGAAGGTGATTCAATTTTCTATGCGTCAAATTTTTCTTGATGATTGTGATTAAATTTAATTACTTTGGCCATGCTTTAAAAATCTAACCGAGATAAACTCGATTATCCCCTTAATCCATTATTTGCGATCAATTGTTTCTCATTGGTTGGTTAATTGAACGACCATGTCTTCAGATCCAAGTTTAATCCAAGAGCTTAAAGTAAGTGAACTTATCCTTCAATCTATTCATATAATAATAGAAATCATCAGTCTCTCTCAATCTTTTAGTTGTTACATTTATCTATTGGAATATTTTATTTCTTTTTTATTTTAATTATTCTTCTGTTTATACAATTCAGTTCAAGGAAATTGAAGGTAATTTTCTCTCGCAGTCTAATCTTATTTTGAATTTTCCCAGAGATTCGATACCATAAATTTCTTTGTGGTTTTCTTATGAGATTTTAGTCTCACCCACTTTTTAGTTTTTTCTTCTTTTCTTTTCTGTCTGTCTATCTTTCTTTCTTTCTCTCTCTCTCTCTCTCTCTCTCTCTTCTTCTGATGATGTTTTTTTAACCAAATTTTTCTCTTTCTTTTATAACCTTTCTTTCTGTTTTTCCTTCTTTCTTTCATTCCTTTCTTAATGTAAAATTTTTTCTTCTTGTTCCGCTTTATTTCGCTTTAGACTCAGGTCATGAGTTTCCGTGTCGCTGAGCTTCAAATGTTACTTGGATTTGCTCAAAAAAATCGTAGTGGTAAAAAGCACGAATTACAAGCTCGAGCAATTAGTTTATTACAAAAAGGAAATTTAACCCTCTCTGTTCAAAATAAGATTCGAGAGCTTCACCGACAAAGGTTCTCCTGCAACAATTCAGACTCTCAAGGATCAGATATTAGCTGTTATGGAAGTAGTTCAGCTTCTAAAGTGTCATCTTCATCTATAAACAATGGACTTTCTCTCAGTGTTACTCCAGGAGGTCCAAGTAGAGGAGCCTCAAATGCAGCCAATTTACTAAACTCCAGTTTACCGGGTGATTATTATTCAAGTATGCCACGGAGTTTAGGAGCATTTGATTTCTCAGCCTCATCTCCATCCAACTCTAAACCTTACATTTCCTCTTTACCTTTGCCTTATCCAGTTCTGGCCGATGTAAAGTTTAAAGTCCTGCCTTTCTTTGATGTTCTCGGTGAACTTTTAAAGCCAGCAACCCTAATGCCAAACCCTAATTCTAGATACCAGGAGAGTACTTTCAGTTTCCATTTGACACCTCAACAAGCGAATGATGTTTCACTATCTCGTGATGTAAATCAAGATGGAAGACCTGAATTTGGTGTACAGATTCAAATGAGATTCTGTCTACTCGAGACAAGTTGTGAACAAGATGATAATTTTCCTCCAAATATTTGTGTTAAAGTTAATGATAAAATTTGTCCACTTCCTGTAAGTCCATTATTTAAGTGATCATACTTTTGATACAATTTTAACTCACTCATAAACACATTCTCTCTCTCTCTCTCCTCTTTCTATATTTAACCAGAATCCCTTGGCAACAAACAAACCTGGAGTTGAGCCCAAAAGACCAAGTAGGCCGGTTAATATTACCCAATTGTGTAGGATATCACCGACTGCTACGAACCAACTATCTTTATCTTGGGCATCATCAGAATATAGTAGAGGCTATGCTGTTGGTGTTTTCCTTACAAGGCGACTTATCGCCAATCATTTACTACAAAGGATAAAATCCAAAGGAGTTCGAAACTGTGAATATACCCGTGCAATGAGTATGTTTCAACTTTTCTCAGTCAATTTTTGGTTTTATTTTCTAATTTCTTTTAATGTTATATTTATATTAATATGATTTGTATGTTTCTCTCTGTTTACAGTCAAAGAAAAGTTAGCACAAGATCCAGATTCAGAAATTGCAACAATGATATTACGTGGGTCACTTCTTTGTCCACTTGGTAAAATGCGAATTCAAATACCCTGTAGAGCGATGACCTGTACACATATACAGTGTTTCGATGGTTTATTATATCTACAAATGAACGAAAAGAAACCAACTTGGGTCTGTCCAGTTTGTGATAAAAGTGCTTTGTTCCAGCATTTAGTCATAGATGGGTAAGATCATAGTTCACCTTCCATCACAATATCTGTCTACTTTATTATATCAATTGTTGTATTTACTTATCATCTCTATCTCTTTGATCAGGTTATTCACTGAAATCATAAGTCAAGCGCCCGTTGATTGTACAGAAGTTCAATTCCATGAAGATGGTACATGGACACCATTATTACCTAAGAAAGAGTTAAAATGTGAAACCCTTAGTAGTGTAAATCATGTTCACAAGAGAACTAAAGAAGAACGTGAGTCTTAATTATCTGATTTAAAGATAGTAATTATTAATATTTATGATTTTCTGTAATAATAATTTTGGTTTTTTTTATATTGTCTTCTTTTTTTCTTTAGCAATGTCACCTCAGCCTAAAAAGACTAAATCAGAAATTGAAATTATTACTCTTGATAGTGATGATGAAGATGATGGTGATGATGATGACGATAATGATGATGACAATGAAGACGATGAAGACACTGAAGAAGATAATGAAAATAGTGTTATAAACAATGACAACGAAAATTCATCTCGTACATCAAAAAGTACCCACATGGGTCAAACAACGCCGATCATTTCTTCTGGATCAAGCAACTCTTCAGACACCACACCTAATATTTCATTACCATCGCCTGATTCATCATCAGGATCATCAGTTTCCTCAAACTTACCCCATGCCTTAGATGCCTCAAGTAGTTCACGAACGATGATGGACACCTCACACAATACCATTCCGTGCTACGCTCCAGCAAATAATACCAGGTATTTAGCGGGTATCTCAGTAGTTTAGTTCTAGTAGATTAATAATTCAAGTTTTCTTTGAAAAAAAAAGATTCATCATAAACATAAAGTTCAAAGTTATAATTTCCTCATGCTTTTTCTTACCTTATCTTCATCCTCCCCACCGAATCCCATATAATTTTACTGAATTTCATTTGTTTTCCATTTATATCCAAAAATCACCGTCATTCCCCGCGAAAGCAATGTTGAATAAAATATTGTATTTTACAAAGTTTTTAAATATTTTTTCTATTTCTCTCTTTTCTTTTCTTCTTCTCCTTTTCGATTCACATTGGTATTTCTTCGTGTTCATCTCGTTTGCGCCTCCATTCATGTTCCATGTTATATTTTCACCGATTTTCAATCTTTCCATTGTAACAAAAGTAGATCAGGAATCAATCCACTCGCTGGTCCTCTTACCACGAATTCAGGTCCACCCTCAATGGGAACAAGAGGGAGAATATCCCTTGGAGGATTACCTTACCATTCTCGATCAAACATAGACGTACCTTCGTCCTACCCAGGGATGCCCATTCTCAATCCAAATGCACCTCCTTTTTATCCTTCGAACGCATCTAAATCATACTCAGGCCCATACGATTACGTCCTTTCAAACACTAATTCCCATCCAATGTCTTATTCAAGTGAGTCCATTTTCCATTTTCTTCATCCTCTGTTTATTTACTCAATTGATTGAATCTCTCTCTCTCTCTCTCTCTCTCTTCGATCAATTTTCCAATACAGACTATGATGTTTACCATGGTCATAATCATTCAATGTACAATGGTGATATTTCAAGAGATGTGAGTATTCAACATCAACTGAATTCATGTTAAATGTTTCATTCACACTTCCATTCCAACAATTGAATCTTTCATCATCAGATAACAACAAAAGTCTTATCATAAAATGGTGATTCTTTTTTTAAACAGTGTCTACATACTATCATAGTGAAGTAAATTAATTGTTGAATCGTTTTAGCTTCCCTACCATACAAAATCTCAAGTCTACAATGTGTTCATTTGTTTTCTATTGCGTATTTGTGTTGATTTTTTACCATCATCACAATTATTAACCCTCTCTATCAGTGGTATCTTTTCATGCGCACACAATTTTATTCATCCTTCAATTATTAATAGATATTCGTTTAAGTTAATTAATCAATTATGAACTCAAATTTATAAATAGAGTTTAATGTTAATCCATTCAATGTCTCTCAACTCTCAATGTCTTCTCGTTGTTTACTAGTCTCTTTGGCTTTTGTTTTTTGCTTTTCCATGCCAACCATTGGCTTACTCTGTTAAATTGTTTAGCTAATTGTTAAATCGTACAACGTCTTTACAATTACATTGATAGTAAATCTCTTAATTGATTAATTTGTGCAAACCGTCGTGATTTGGTTTCTCTATTTTCTTATTTTTCTTTTTTTCCATCAAGAGTTTGGTCATGTAATTATCATGATCTTCCTTTGAATTTCCTGGTGAATTTGGCTCTTAAATCGTTCATTGAAATGATCTTTCGGAGACTTTGATTGAAAGGCCAACCAATTGGTTCGAGACTTGGGCTCTCTCTTTAGCTTCAATTAGTTAATCGTTAATTAATTAACTGATTAAATAATTGAAAGAAATACTCACTGAATGATTAAGCTTTCAATTGATTGTGCGAAATTAAATTTCTAACAATAAACCAATCAGACCAATAACAAGTTACATGATTAATAAACTTGTAATATCTTGATTTTCATCTACGGCTACTAATCAATATAACCAATTAATTTGATTCAATTGATTCTTTGTTTTTGTTGTTCGCAATTAAGATGATTAATATTCCTACTTGAAGATAACATTATCATTCTGCTGAAGGTCCAATTGATTTGCTCTCATTGTTGAAGTTGATTAAATAGTTTTATGCAACAATTAAAATAAACTTTTCTCATCATTGATAATAATGAATGAACAATTTGACTTTTTATTTTGTTTTCTCAATGGAGGAAAAAATCAACTAATTGATTGTTGGGATACATTTTTCCCCCTTCGTTTATCAATCAAGTTAATTACTGATCAAACAATACAATTAATCTGATGAACAATCAACACCAAACTTTTGATTATAAATCAAATTGAATCTCTTTTTGTGTTGTTTACTTGTATCAATTGTTTTCATTTTCTTGTATTGATTTAATTTAGATATTAATTGTTTGTTTCGTTTTGTTATTTAGATGAAAAAATTAATTGATTTACTTTTTTCTCTCTCTCTCTATTTACAGTTAACTTCGTACAGAAATAGTTCATCTTCGGGAAATCGACAAGCATCAGATTCTGGTCCTGAATTAATTTCATTAGATTGACTATCGATGAATGAATTTAAACAACAATTTGACTGATTCATACTCCATCATTGTATCATCTTCATCTTCATCTTCTTGATCATCTAATTTTTTGCCATATCAACGAGCTCGAATTGATTAATTATCTCCTCTGCTACCCGTTGATCATGATAACATTATTTGGAAATGTAAGGAGAGTGATTAAGCTAATCATTTGATTAATTTTCTTAATTTTCGCACAATGATTAATTGGGAGAGCAATTTATCACCACCATCTAAATTGTATCTACTGGATCATTGAATTAGCTTTTAATCTTCAACATGATCAGCCAAAATTAACCATCGGGCACAATTAAACTTAATTGTCTACTTTTCTTTTGATTCTAAATATCCCCTTCTACAGAATCTCACATATACACAATTCTAATTATTGATTTTGATCAATTTTTTAAACTCACAATCAATAATTTAATTCGTCTTTACCTTCATACGGTAGAGAATTAAATTAATATAAACTAAATTAAGCAAATTATTAATGACCTAATTGTTTTTCTGTTGGTCTCTATTGAGTCAACCTTTTTTTTATATACACAACAATTAGATTTAGCTTTATTGTTACAATTAAGCTGGTTCTGAATCAACCAAAGTTTAAAAAGTTCAGCAAATAAATATCATTGACAAATTATATTCAATTTGATTAAATTTAATTACTATTATCATTCAATAACTTTCATCGTTAAGATTGATCACTTTTGAATGAATATTATTGTAAATAAATTATTTTTCATAACAAAAAGTTTAATTGTCTTTTAATTTATTTATTTCAACCATCCAATGAGATTGATGAATAAAAGTTAATCAACAATCAAGGTAAATTTTAGTTTAAAATGATTAAAATGTAACTCGATAAATTAATTGTTACACAATTAGATCATTAGTTAATTTATTAATAGTACACTTTTGATGAAGAGCTAAAGTTTAAGGCAGTTTGATTGAGTTAATCATTTAACTATGATTTGTTTTAACAAAGCTATTGAACAATTAAAAGATCAATTGATTAGCTGATCAATTGTTTAATTGCGATTTTAGCTTTTTTTAGCTAAATATTGAATAACAGCGAAATCAGAAGATCTCATCCAATCGCCAGGTAATGATGACCATTGGGACTCGTCTTTAAATCCAACACAAACTTCAGCTTTAATTGATCGAAGTGTACAAAGATCAGTGGGATGGAAACCTCGAAGAGCGACCTCGAAGGGAGTTGTATTTTCCCAGGCTAAATCGCCGACAAGTTTACGATAGTTAAGATCACCTTTAAAAATTAAAAGTTTAGCCTGTGATAATTGTGAGTACAAAGATGGACTGACAGTTCTCATGCTCGAAAAATCGTACGGAAGAGTCCAAAATTGATCTTCAACAATCATCCAAGTTCCGTTGGTAATATAACCTTTCCACTTGTTGCCTAATGATTGAAGTAAAGGTGATTCTTTACACTCGATCAGATGGTCAATTGTCCAAAGGAAATCGTATCTTAGAGCATCGGAAACAAACCATGGGATAGTTTTAACGTACCAACGAACTGTACATTTATCGACAGGTAAAAGGCCAGATGAGTGAAGAAATTCAACTAAACATAGATCGGTAAACAGTTCGAAGCCAGCATTGTCCAAAACAATATCGAGACAAGGTTTTGAAGATGAAGATGAGATCAGATTCTTGATTGATGACCATAAGTGTTCACTATCATTAATGAGTATATTAGGTCGGATTTTGGACAGATCGTCCAACGGACTAGAGGTTTGAGAACAATCTTCACCAGCGGTCAGTGAAAGGTCACATTTATTGCCCCAAAGCGAAATTTCAAACATTTTAATTGTTTCATCTTTTAACGATTCCGATGAGACTTTCAATCGAGAAACATATTCACCTAAAAATAGAGGGAAAAGAACAAGTAAAAAAGTTAATTAGTAAATTAAAGTTGATTAACTTGATTACATGGTTGTGATTATTTCATGATTAACAAATCAATTTCTTAAATTGGCTTTTGTGGTAATGATTAAGACGAACATCAATTATTTTCAACTCATTGCATGATTAATAATCAATAGGATTATAACCTTATTAACGTTTCATTGGTATCGTGATTTAAGTAGCGATACTCAAATCATCATGATTATCATTTAAATGATTATCGATATTCATTGAATTATATTCATGGGAATTGGTTATTAACAATTAGTCAAGCGAGAAAAGGATTTTACTACTTAATTGTTGGTGTAACAATTAACTTTGAAAGTGGTTAGAAGCTTTGAAAGTTATAAAGTCAAACAAATAACAGTAAAAAAAACAAATTATCGAGTTGATTGTATTGTTGTTGTGATTAATTGGTTGAATTAAGGATAGAACATGAAATTAAGCCTTTCCTTAATCAACTTGATAATGATATGTTTCAAATTGTAAGGGTGGGTTTAAATTGCTTCATCTTTTTTTTCACTGATTACTGGTGACAATAGAGTGATGAAAGCATCAGCAAAAAAATAGATTAACAATCAGTGATTACAATTTGAACACTCAACTCGATTTATAAGTTATTTGCCCCATTAAACCAATTAATTGTCTTCCTCTAAATCATTTATGAATGACAAATTCACTCTCAATCATGTTAACGAGCTTGTTTAACAATCTATTTGCCTCCATGATGGTGAATGATAATGACGATGAAAAGATGAAGATGATCATCATCATCTTCATGTTATTGATCATCTTCTCTTGAACGGAACGTTTTACTTTTCAAGTGATTCGAGGTCAAAGAGTATAGTTGAATCTGAAAGCGTGATTAACAATCAACGGGCGGAGTACATTGGAATACAGATCAATTAAAGTTGAACGACAGAAAAAAAATGGCTGAAAAAAGAGAGGAGAAAGAGAAAGAAAAAGTATTATTACTTTTACCAATTAACTTATTATCATCATCATCAGGTATCATTAACAGGTAGTCAGAATTTACAATTTACTGTTGATTTGAAGTTAACTTTTGTTCAGTTGATTTAAGATTAAAACATTTTTCAAACAACAACAACAACAACGTCAAGAAGTGACAGTTAATTGTTTACATCATAAGTTACCTTTTTTTTTGTCCAATCATCATCATCATCATCATGAGTATCACCATCGCCATCATCATCAGTGTTGATTAATATTGATTGTATTGAATTTCCTCTCATTGATCTCTGTAATTGAATAATCTCCTTATTCCAATACTCCAAATATAATGAACAGTTCCGTGAATAGATTCAAATTATCAGGATGGAAAAGTTTTGCCAATCATTTTGATGGATCAAATCAACTTCTCACAATTCTTAAAGTTAATCTAATTATCTATCTAGTCTTTGATTATATAATTAACTTGTATGTTATCTGTTCAGTGGAATCGGTTACCAAAGAGATTGAATCTCGACATGGACGTTCAAGTTGCTTTAATCTTGATCATGTTGTTATCGTAACTTGTCTTTATGGGTCACTTGTTATGTCCATTGTTTTCGATGTCATTGGACTTTTGGGTATAATTAAAGAATATCCGTTTCTTTGTCTTCTAAATGTTTGTCAACTGTCCATAGGTGTTCTAAAGGTAGTTGTCGTCTTTAATTATCTTCCACTCGTGGCGATTCACATGTTATTTGTTATTCTCTCATTGATATTTGCTGTTATCGTTATGCCAAAGGATGATAAGTTATTCATTTGTACACCGTAACTGGAAGGCCAAAAACTCCGTGTCGGATTGAGGTGAACTGTTTATCGGATAAAATGACAAGAGTGATTTTTTCTTGCGACCTGGAAATCTGAATGAAAAATGTTAATAGTGAAAATTGTAAATATAAAAGAAAAAGAGATAATCTCATCTTCTCAATGCTAAAATGAAGGAGAAAAAATTTGAAGAGAAAATTATTGTTCCAATGTAATAATGTATTATAAGCTTCTGGTTATTGTATGTCAATGATGAGTTGATAATTATTGTCAATGATTAACCAAGCAAATAAATTGGATCCTTTCACAGTTTCAGGAATCAATCAAAAAGTGATGAAAACTCAAGTTCAATAAACACCATTGACATGAGAGGGTGAAAATGAAGCCAACAAAAACCAATTTGATAATCACAATCGGATAGATAAATACACTTATTGTAATAGTTTAAATGGACCAACCTAACATGATTGTTGCCTTCATTGATTGTTTCAGGGCATTTCGCTTTTGTTCAAAAAATGGATCGAATTTAGTGAAATATTTACTTCGAGCAAAAATTTCACGTACTCGTCGGTACATGTAACATTCAGAGTAAAGCCATGGAATTGAATAATATGTTGGACATGATCCAAGTTTCTCAGTCCATGAATTAAAATATCGATTCCAAATTGAAATATCATCACCATTATCATCTAATAGGATTAATTGTTTATCGGTCATCATCTCATATCGTAACTTTGAGAATTGTCCTAATATTGATTTTGCTTCTTCTTCAATATTAACCTTCTCTTCCTGATTAAGATTCAAATGTTGGACCGTAATAAAGGATGAATATGCTCGTCGAAAATAGTCCAATCCTTTAACCAGAATTTCGGGTAATCTTTCACTGATTGTGTGAAAGGCAAAACATCTAATTGCAAATAGAGAGAAAACAAAAGGTTAATCATCCCAATAAACGATAGATTAATGAAAGATGAAGGTTGACAAAAATAATAAACATGAGCGAGAAATGGAAACAAAAAGGTAAACCATTTTTAATACTTACGATTTATCAACAGGAGCGATTGGCTCGGGTATTGTTGTCATGATCTAAGAGTATTATCACTAATCAGTTATCGTTAAATTATAATTGTACAAAATCTAAATTGATTAGGAAAAAAAGAGAGAGAAAACAAATTAATCAGTTAATCGTTGGATACCTTTGAATACAAAATGAAGATTCATGAGTAGCTGATACTTGATACGCGCAAGTACAAAATGGTGATAACATTTGAGAAACGAATAAAATTAGAGACAAACAATTAACATTAAATCAGAACAATTGAACACAATGGAATAAATTTGACTTTCTAATTTGTTCAATTGATTAAATTTTCTTATAGAAAAGGAAAAAGAATTGAAAATTTATGTTTACTTACTTTTCAATTTTTCTTTTTCCAATTTGATTTATTTTTGTTTTCTCTTTTCTCTGAACAATCAATTATTCTCTTATATTTACCACCAAGTTAACTGTTGACATTTAATTCGTTTCAAATCAAATAGAACATTTTCACGAGTTAATTGATGGAAATTAGAAAAAAAAATTAATCAAAAAATTAAATTCTAATTAAAATTGATTAACCTTTTCTGAGGCTTTCGATGTATCGATCAACAGCGCCATCTAGTGTTGGTTAGAATAGAATTCAAATTATTCAATTTTCTGAAAATGGAAAAAATTGTAAACAAACAATCACTTGAATAATTAGTAGCAATTAATTGTTCCATTGGATATTTTTTTTGGATCAGTTTGTTAATCTGATTGTGATTTATCTGTTGCTCTAAAGTTTGTGGGGAAAAGAATAATATTTAAAGTGGAAAAAAGTGTTTTAAATTATCAATCGTTTTGGTTTGTTTTTTTGTTTTCTTCTTCTTGTTTTGAATGATGGAAGGACCAACAATTAAATTCAAAAGTATTAAGAAAAAGCCTTTAAGGACTAAAATTGCTGATGAAGGTGAAGATGATGGTGTTGTTGATGATACCAGAGAATCAACGGATAATAAAAAGGATAATGGTGAAGGTGACGACGAATGGGATAAATTGGAAGAATTGAAATTATCAAGATCATTAAAGAGAAGATACAACAAAGGGATTAATGCAATGGATCTTTTAACAATCAGCAGTCAGGAGACTCAAGAAGCTAAAGTAAAAGCTGAACATTATGCTGGATTAATGACATCACTTGATTTGGCTAATATATTTTCAGTGGAAACAAATCGTCGAGATGAAGATCAAGATATGTTAAAATACATTGAGGAGCAATTGGCTGAAAGAAAAGGCCTGGTAAAGATGGATAAAAATGAAACAAAACGCGAACTAATTGACCCAGATGATTTAGTATTTAATGAATTACGGGAAAATTTATTAAAAGATGAACAGAAAAAGAATGAGGAAATGTTATCAAGTCAAATGCTCAGTGGAATACCTGAAGTTGATTTAGGTATTGATGAGAAGATTCGTAATATTGAAGCAACTGAAGAAGCCAAGATCAAATTAATGGAAAGAAAGTTAAACCATCGTTCAACCAGTCGAGATTCAACCTTAGTACCAACCAATGTGGCCGCTAATTATGTTCAACATAATCGTTTCAATGTTGATACCTCAGATCACAATAATAAAAGACCAAAAATAACCAATAAGCCTGTTACTACTTTGGTTAAAGAACCTGTTGTCCAGATTGGAGATGAACCTAAACAAGGTTACTTTCGTACCAATTCGGGTCAAAATAAATCAAAGCTCAAGTTCCCTGGTAAAGAGAAAGCTACTGATGATTATCATTTTGAAAAGTTCAAAAAACAGTTCAGAAAATGAAAGCTTTTCATCCTCATCATTATAATATGATCATCACAAGACCAGCGAATATCTTAATCAATGAAGAAAAGTATCAAAAGAAAAAAGGAGAAACTGTGTCAGTAGTTTCTATATTTTTTACTACCAATCATCATTAATATTTGAAATTCGTATCAATATCAATCTTTATATTTCAATTGACCATTACACTTATCATCCCCATTAATCGTGAAGGTTAACCCATCAGGAATCAATTTCAATTATAATATATAAGACCAAAAATCAGTTGATTCATTGATTAACCTTACAACTAGTATTTTGGTAAAGCAGCAACAAACAATACAATTGATTTAATTTTATCTGTAAATTGATGATCTCATATTCATAAATTGATTGTAATCAGATTGATTTTTCCTTCTGCTAATCAACCATTTGATTATCGGTTGATCCATTATTGTAAATCAGCACTTTCATATGTAAAAAAAAAATGATAACATTTCCTTGCAAATTATACTTGACCTAATCTAAACAATCAACAATTTAAATTGGTTGATTTATTTATATATATTTACATGATTACATCTTAATGAAAAGATTGTCATTCATTTTCTAATGATTTGTATTCTTAATTGTTGTATTTGAAAAGGGAAAAAATTTTCAGATTTCGGAGATGAGAAAAAAAAACAATAAGGAAGGAAAAAGAAAATGAATTAACAACTAAATAACAATTAGTTAATTGGGTTCGTCATCTTAATAGAAACACGATTAAATTTCAATAGAGCGAGAAAAGTAGAATAAGCTATTAACTGTTAACAATTAGAGTTAATTTGATTTGCAAACTACATTTATCTTAACCATTAATCTTGTTTGGGTTACAAACCATCAATTTATTTATTTTCACCAAATCAACTTAATCTAATTGGTTTAACAAATGATACGCAATTTACAGTTAATTGTGAAAAGTGAAAAATTGATTGAATCAGAAAATCAGAATCTGATTAAAATAGAGATAAATATCTTCGCAATTAAGGAAATCACCGGTGAAATTATCACGAGTTTTATGAAGACCTTTAGTTGATCGAAAACTTTTCGTAATGTCCATAAAAGTTTCGAGCAACAATCGGGAAGGTCAATGAAAAAGTCCAAACATTACAGTGATACTAAAAGTGACAATTTATTAACTAAATAAATCCAGTTATTAGTCAACGTAATCAATAGTTACTTGTGAATCATAATTAATCATTTTGTCAACAGAAAACTCCCAATATTGTTTATCTTTTTGATAATTGGGGAAACAACACTTTGATTATAATAGTAATTGTTTGGATTAATGATTAACTGATAATCTTGACTTAATCGGGATTTAGTTTTAAGTGACTCCGAGAATAACAATTACCTCGAGAATTGGAAATGAAATATTAGTTAATTGTTGACTTGGTTTAGAATCAGAGACCAAGGGAACTATTTTGAAGAACAATTAATCGTAATTGTAATTGACTTGTGAACTTAACGATTAACTAACTGATATAAACTGCTAGAATATAAGTTAACAAAAGTTAATAAATTAGTTAGGTTTTTCTTAGCGCAAGTTATTAATTAATTGATCACCAATATCTAGATCAACACTTATAACAATCAACGAAACTATTAATAGATCAAACAAACAATTGAATTGTCTCATCTCATCAATTTAACCAACTAATTTGATTTGACTCTCAATAACATGTGATCAAACAATTACATCACCGGAAATAGTATTAAGTAAACAAAGCTATGTAAAGGAAAAGGGGGAAAAGCAATTTTAATTTAATTAAGAGATTATTTGTTTCATTGATTGTGTACGAATTAATTAATTCTTTTGATAACATTGTGTTGATTGAACGGATTTTCCTAAACTTTATCAGTTGAAAAAATGATCAACGGTAAAAGGAGTTCGTGACTTTCAGGACTTAGAACTTTTTTTCTGATACTATTTTCGATTTTCGACCATTTTCTTGAGGTCACTTTCTGACCTTTAAAAGGTCACTTCTGAATCTTAATGGTGTTGGTAAAATCTAAGACCATAAAAGTTTCGAATTCACTATCGAAATCAACTCGTATCGAATATGTTATTTTCGGTTCAGTTTCGAAGTTGAAAAGTTCTGAAAATCCTCTAAAAGTTTTTCTGTTTTTCGTGATTATTTCTTTGGACTATTTGAAGGAAAAAGTTAAATCACAATTAACACGATGAATTAGTTTTCTCTGATAAATAAATTAACTTTTTAATTGCTGATTGGAATTATAATATAATTAATAAATTTTCTGTTTCATGATTACAATTTGATTAACTTTTACAAATTGTATATTTCAAGTTGCGGTTTTGAACCTGTAAGACAATTTAATTGAATTGATTAGATTATTAATTAAGCTCTTGGATCATTTGTTAATTGTCGTCTTGATTGTCGAAGTGGATGTTTGGCAATGTGTAACATTAGAATGATCTTAGTTGTTCCAGAGGGTAGATCACCTTGATAAAGATCTAAATCAAGTTCTAATTTAGTTAATTGTTCACCTTTCAAAGATTTTACCAATGATATGGTCGCCTCATTGGAAACTGAAGTTAAATGAAAATCATCTCGAGTCGCAGGTTCTACTGAATTATCGGCTTGAACATTGGTCACATTCAGCTTGAAAATCACCTCAGAACCGGGAATCAACGGCCCTCGGGCGGTGAAAAGTGCCAATCGTCCGGTGGGTGGAATCGGCGCCCCCGATGGTATCGAAATGTATGAATATGAATAAGATAAAGGTCTCTTGTAAATCTCATAACATTTATCGCCGACACATTGAACTGAATTCCGAGGTTTTTTACATCGACTAAAATTCAAAACAATTAAACGATTAGTTGATTGACAATTTTTCATCATTAATTGTTTATAATTTAATTTATTCTAATCATCAATCTAAATCGTTAATGATTAATTTATATGTATTATTATTATTAGTGTGTCACTTGAAGAGAGACTCAATTTTGATTAATCATTTAAAATCAGATCAATCTCAATTGTATGGACATAAACAATTATAGTTAACTAATCATCTTGAAACCTTCAATTTTAATTGTTACTAATCAATAAGTCAACATTAACTAATTGTCAATGATTGATGATTTATTTTAATTGTTGACATACTATTAAATAAATTAATAATATCTCCCGTTTATAGCAGCAAACTGATTTAAACTAATTTCATAATTAATGATAATTTGTGTAACCATTTTTAGTTAACAATTAAATCATTTTTATCAACACTCAATCAATTGATTATTAGGTTGAAGCAATAATATTAATACAATAATTATATCATTCTTATTGATTTACTTTGATTAAAGTTGAGATTTTCAAAATGTAATCAATTTGAAATATTTTTGCATCTCATCAATTTCAAAAATGGTTAATTGTAATTGTAAACATGTGAATGGTTATAAGCACTGATTGTTAACTTAATTGTCATTCAATTTACTTACTGAGTATGAGCTGTGTCTCTGATATAACCTTGAGGACAATCTTGATTAAAGCATTTATATGATCCGATTGTGTTTAAGCAAATTGATTCACCGCAAGGTTTTGATATTAAACACTCATTGATATCATCACAGAATTGATTATCTCGAACTTGAAATCCCTCTGAACATGAACAAATGTACGAACCAGCGGTATTGGTACAATTACCCTCACAAAAAAGTGCCAAATTTGACATGTTAGATGAACATTCATCAATATCAACACAAGTCTTTCCATCATCAGCTAATCTGTAACCTGTGGTGAGAGATTAAGATTAAGATTAAGAGAGATAAGAAGAAGGCAAAAAAAAAAGGAAAGGATTAAGAAAATTATTATTCTCATACCTGGTGAACATGAGCATATATATGACCCTTGGGTGTTTATACATTTATCTGGACAGACCCAGGGTGTTTCTTGACATTCATCAATGTCATCACATCCTTGTGAGTATTGTGATTGCCGATAACCCTTTTGACAGATACAATCAAATGAACCTTCCTTGTTGACGCAAATTGAGTTAACTGGACACACCTCTGGTCCATACTTGGCACACTCATCGATATCGATACACCTTCGATACTCATCTAACTTTTGACCTGGTGGACAGGAGCAAGAAAATGACCGATAACCATTGGTACAAGTTTGACCTGAGAGACAATTGTGTGACCCTTCAGCACATTCATCAATATCAACACAAGTTACCCTTTGAGAGTCATAACGAAGTCCACTTTCGCAAATTGATCGACACTGATATGTACCAATAAGGTTAATACACGAATGACCAACTGGACATCGCTCTGGAATTGTACATTCGTCAACATCTTCACATTTTCCTTGAGAATTTTTCTCATAACCAACTGGACATTTAATCGATTGACAGATTCCTTCAGGTAATAAATTTTGACCTGGTGGACAAGCGATTCGGACACATTTATATGTTCCCGGATTGTTGACACATTTGAACATCATTGATGATCCACAGATTCTTGGTGATGATTCACATTCATCGATATCATCACAATTGTCACTGGAAACATTGTAAACATAACCAGTGCCACATTCATTTTTCCGGATACACAAAAAGTTTCCCGGCATATTAATACACCGATGAGTATCTGGGCAGCGATTTGCATCATAGCACTCATCGATATCTTCACAATTACCCGTTTCTCGGGTTCGAGTATAACCTGAGTCACATTGTCCATCATCGGAAGGTTTAATTTCCCGTAAACGCTCAAATCGCGATCGGCACTCATATGAACCTGGTAGATTAACACAATCTTCAACTGAAGGTCGACATCGATGCATACCAATTGAACATTCATCAATATCGATACATCTTGAGTTAATTGATCGGTAACCATTGGGACACGAATTTGGGTCCGTTGGTGGTGATCGTTTTTCACATCGATACGAACCAAGTACATTAACACAAGTCTCTAAGGTCGGGTGACAAACTGGAGGTTCGTGGACACATTCATCGATATCAATACACGAACCTGAAGCACCTCGAGTCAATCCGGTTGGACAAAATGATCTTGATGGGTAAGGTGAAAATTGATTTGATCTAATCAACTGATCAATTGGTTTTTTACTACAATTATATGATCCAATTTGATTAGTACAATCTTCCCAAGGTTCACAGGCTCTTGAATACTCGAGACACTCATTAATATCAATACAATTTAATCCAAGTTGATTTAGTTTGTAACCCGATTTACAATTACATCTTTCATTTGATTCAATGAAACCATTTTCACAAATAACCTTTGATTCAGTTGAATCAGTTTCACGCTCATGGGAATTATCATCATGATGATGATGATGATGATGATGATGATGATGTTATTGATTTGAGTGATGAGGGTGATGACTCTGAACAACAATCAGTGAATGATTTAATCCAATTTGAGTTAAATTGTGATGGTGGTAATTTTAATGAACAAGATCGACCCTCTTCCCTTGCGGTGATCCCCAATTTACATGATTGGCAACAATCATAAACTGAATTTGATTGTTCAGCATAACGAGTATAACTAATTGTTGATAAACATGGATCACTTGATGATGATGCCAATGATTTACCTAAATCACAATTAACTGATTGGTGGCGAGAGGTACAACAAAGACGAAAGATAATCTCACATGAGGGTAAAGAATCACGAGAAAAATTAACTTTACTTAAAACACTTTGATTGTTAATTGTACATCCAATTGAAGGCCAACGATCAGCGTAATCAATTCCTGATTGACAACAATTAGCAATCACTTTCTCATGATCTGTTCATCAATAATAATAAGAGTAACACCAATTAGTTAATTAATCATAACCAGGAAGAGAAAGTTAAGTTGATTTGGTTTTTCATTAATTGTCTTAAAATTGAAAACAATTTACTTTTCCATTTGAAGGCGAAATTGTTTTATTTAATTTTAATTTTCTTTCCCAACAATTAGTTGGAAGAGAAAAGAAAAAGAAAAACTAATTAATCAATTTCCATATCAGGTAATATCTCTATTATCTAATTAGGAAATTAATCAATTGAATTGAATTTCCGTTTGAGGTTTGATTTAATTGTTTTGTCGTAGTTTCAACAATCTAATCAATTTGGACATAACAATCAAATTGTTTAATTGTTTAGGTTAATCAACTCACCTTCTGATGATGTTATTGATGACAACCAGAGTAATAATAAAATGGATGATGATGATTGAATTAATTTAATCATTTGGATTAATTTGCTATTTGTTTTTTTTTTGTTTAAAGGGAAAACGAGTTAATTGTTTGAAGAAAAGTTAATTTTGTTTATGGGAAGAAATAACTAATCAGGTAAATTGTTGTTGTTTCCAGTGAAAGTGGTGATTGTCAATTGATTTAGTTAATCATCTAAGGGAAGAGAGACTGAGAGAGAGAAATACAATCGATGATAATTAAAAGTGGTCCTGATGATTTACAATTAACAAAGTCATTTATGTCAAGAGCAATTAAACTTTATCCATCTTGATTATTACCAATGATTAAAATAGTTATTCAACAAGAAATTAATCTCTTCCTCTTTTATCAGTGGTTACTTTTAATTGAGAATCTTAATTGTTTACAGTAAGTTAATCAAGTTAAATGCATTTCCATTAACTGTGATTTATTTTTTGTTTTGTTTGTTTGTTTGTTTGAAGCAGAATTTCAATATAAACAACCTTGAGCCTAGGATCTTGTACTTTTTTTTTTGAATTAGGCGACAATTAATTGATTATGGATAAGCAGAGACAAGAGCGTTTTAAATCTTGTAATGCTTTAATTTTTGTTGTTTGTAATCTTGGAGGATCGATCATCAAGAGTCATTGTGATTGTAGTTTTAAATTTTTTGAATCTTCTCTCCGACCACTTGTGGATTATTTTTACGTATCTCCTCGGCTCCATGTTCTTTATAATCGAAACTGCAACTATGTTCGTTAGCATAACGATGAGTTGAACAAAAAATTCCTCCACAGCGACAAGGAAAACCTTCACAACACACACACAATACAAACAGAAATAGAGAGAGAGAGAGGGAGGGAGAGAGAAAGGGAGAGGAGAAAAGAAGAAAAAAATTTCATTAGAAAGATGTTTAGTATATTTGTGTATTATATTATATAAAATTGAAAGATGAAGAAGAAAATGAAATAAAGAGAAATAAAGGAAGAGAGATAAATAGCAAGAAAGAGATGGAGAAAGAGGAAAAAGAAAGAGATCACCAAACAAAAAAAAGGGAAGAAAAAGAAAAGATGAAAACATACCTATAACTCCTACACTAACTTTACATTGAGTACATCGGGTTTTCTTTTTTTTAGGTAATTTTGGTAGATCAATAACTGGCTTCTCCGTTGTATGGGCTTCAGGTTGTGGTGAGGTCATCGCACTGGCCATTGTTGATTATTCTAATCACAGAAAAAAACACCAGAAACAAAAAAAATTCTAAAAATTCTAAAAAAGATGAATGATTTCAACCAAAATGTCAAATTGAGAAGCCCAACTCTCGACTCAAACAGCTTCAACTCTAATGAGCTTCAAATTCACTTCTCTTTAAGCCTTAAAGAGAAAACGACTAACCTGCCATCTCTTATATTCCAATGGAACTTTCATTTCTTCTATTCTTTTTTATTTATTTTTCTTTTCTCTTTCAATTTCTATTGTTAATCAATTAATTCTTTGTGTGTGTTAATCTGTTTTATTCTTAATCTTAATTAACCCTTTGGGGGTTTTTTATGTTTAATCTTATTCTCTATAAGGTAAGTTAATTGGTTTAATTGTTGAGGTTGAAATTTCTTTTCTTTTTATCTGTTAAATTATTTATGTTTTTTTGTTAATCGATTTTTAAATTTTTCTTCTCTTCTTCTCTCTCTTTTTTTTCTTTCTATTCTCCACATGTATTCAGTTTGTTTGGTGAATTGTAATATTCAATTTATAGTGTATACTGTTTGGTTTTTCCTACTCATATTTGTGTTGTAAAGATGGCTGATATTAATCAGAGTGTTCTGGAAGCTATTAATGTGGCTGAAGTGACTAATTCACTTGATTTAGCTGTAAAACTTGGTGTTGATCATCAGCGTATTGTTGGTGTTATTAAAAGCCTGGAAAATGTCACTGACTTTATTGTTACCACTCAAATAAATGAAAAAAAATGGCAACCCACCGAGGAGGGTCAACAAATTATTTCAAAAGGTTCCCATGAGGCTTTGGTTTGGGCTGCTACTCCAGAAGGGGAAGATGGAATTGAAATGCCTCTGCTGATGAGTAAATTAGAGGGTAATACAGGTAAATTAGGACTTAACAAGGCTTTGGCTCTCAAATGGGTGGCCTTGGTGAAAAAAGACGGGAAGCAATTTGTGACAAGGAAGGTTAATGAAATTGATGACAAGGTTATGATTTATCTTCGTTCTTTCAATCAGGGTAAATTCAATGAAGTGAGTATCTGCTATTTATTCTTCCATTTTTTTTATATATATTTACACGATGGATAAAAGAGAGAGAGAAAGCAAAAAATTAAATTAAGAGAAGGGAAAGAAAGAAGGAGAGAATAAAAAATTGCACTCTAATGCAATTATATATTTTACTTTTTGCCTTGAATATTTATATACATGTACTTTCCATGCATTTGATATTATATTTATTGTCTCTATTTTTTTTTATGCTTTTCTTTTGATTTCCTTGACAGATTCCAGAGGCAGTAAAGCTCGATCTTAAAAAGAGAAAATTGATTTCGGAGGTGGTTATTAAAAGCTATCAAATAGTCAAAGGAACGCAATTTACATTGAAGGTTGAAAAGGCCGAGACTGATATAACCGCTGAGATGATATTAAAAGATACTTGGAAAGAGAAAAGATTCAAGGATTATAATTTCAATGCCATGGGTATTTCTCCAGATCGAGGACATTTACATCCATTGTTAAAAGTTCGAGAACAGTTTCGTCAAATTTTTCTTGAAATGGGGTTCACCGAGATGCCTACAAATAATTTTGTTGAAAGCTCTTTCTGGAACTTTGATGCTCTTTTCCAACCCCAACAGCATCCTGCTCGAGATGCTCATGATACCTTCTTTATATCAGATCCTCAATTTTCCGATGATTTTCCTAAAGACTATTTGGAGAAAGTGAAAACTGTCCATTCAACTGGAGGTTTCGGATCCCAGGGATATAAATATGATTGGAAAATTGATGAGACTCGGAAAAATTTACTTCGAACTCATACAACTGCCGTTAGTGCTCGAATGTTGTACAAAGCAGCTGAAAGATATCGTCAAAATCCAGAGGAACCTTTCACTCCATTGAAATACTTCAGCATAGATCGTGTCTTTAGAAATGAGACTTTGGATGCCACTCATTTAGCCGAATTCCATCAAATCGAAGGTGTTGTAGCTGATGTTGGATTAAATCTCGGTGATTTAATGGGAATTCTTGATCAATTTTTCCAAAAATTGGGAATCAAAAGCCTTAAATTTAAACCAGCTTATAATCCATACACTGAACCGAGTATGGAAATTTTTAGTTACCATGAAGGACTCAAGAAATGGGTCGAAATTGGAAACTCCGGTGTTTTTAGACCTGAAATGCTCTTACCTATGGGATTACCTGAAAACGTAACAGTAATTGCTTGGGGACTTTCACTAGAACGACCAACAATGATTAAATATAAGATTGATAATATAAGAGATTTAGTTGGACACAAAGTTGATCTACAAATGGTTTATAATAATCCAATTTGTATTATTGACGAAAACTAATTTGCTCAATATATTTGAATAAATTATTCCTCCGAATTAAATTCCCCATGAATATAAACTAATTATCCATTAAATTATTTTACATAATTTAAATTTAATGTGAATCCTGATGATTAATTGATTTTTTTTTCAATGAAAAAAAATAAAATAAAAAGGTCAAGGTTCTGATGAGAGTAATTTTAATCTCTAATTATAATCAAATTTAAATTCTATTTCTAGAACAAAGTTATCATCTGATGAGATACTTTTCTTAATATTCTAATTCCATATGATTAAATCGTGACTCTAAATCCACAATTAATCAACTAATAATTTTAATCTATCAAGATTAACTAGAGAATCAATTTGACAGGTAAATATGATGAGCAAAGAAACTTTTTCACTCAAAATTGAATAGAAGAAATTTTCAAAATTATTCTATTCAATTTTCCATTAATTAGTTAACCAAAATTCAATTGATTGTAAAAATTTCCAAGCTACAATTAACTAATTCTCTAGATTCAAAATGAGCGGTTTTATTATTTTCCTTTATTTTTGTTGCTTCCATATGATTGATGGATCGTTTTGTTTACCTTTTTTTACTTGGAATTTAATTTTTGTTTTTCTTTCTTATTCTCAGTGATTCAAATGTTTTCGTTTTCTGATTGCCAATTAATTTGATTGAACACAATATCGAAACTAAAACTGTTCTAAATGGCGACAATTAATTCCCTATTGAGATCCTGTCATCGATTAACTAATTGTCGACACGTCAAGTCGACTCTATTTACCAGTTCATGTAAACAACTTTTTGACTCTTTCCGAGTTTCTGTTAATTATCAACAACAATTAGGAATAACCTCAGTTTTTGGTTACAATAAGAAGAAAAATTATTATGAAATTCTTGGTGTTCCTCGTCATGCCAATAAAAGAGAGATTAAGAAAAGTTATATCGCCTTGGCGAAAATGTTTCATCCCGATTCTGTCTCCAAAGAGACTTCGAGTCAAGAAAAGTTCCAAGAGATTCAGGAAGCTTATCAAGTTCTAAGCGATGATGAGAAAAGATCTAAATATGATTCTCAGGTAATGAAAGAAATGGGAATGCAATTTAAACACCATGAACGAACTAAAGATTTCAATCTAATGAAAGAAACAGTTGAAGGTGAAACCCTTTTTCGAAACATTTTCGGTGATCTGGAAAATCCTTTCGCCAAAGGTGAAAAACTCAAAGAGGGACAATACGCCGAGACAATTTGGGGATCAACTCCAGCAGAATCATTAATCATCTCATTAACCGTGGAAGAAGCGGCCAAAGGTTGTAAACAAGAATTCGAGATTCGAACCGTTGATGTTTGCTATTTATGCAATGGTAGGAAAAGAAGAAAATAATTAGAGAATCGGAAAGAAATACTAATATTGAATTCGTTTTATTATTCTTATTTCTAGGAACAAGAGCTGCTTATGGATTTCGGCCAATCATATGTCCATTTTGCGATGAAAATGGACTTGAAACGATTTCTACCAAACCGATTACCGTTAAATGCAAATGTCGAGCCTGTGGTGGAACCAAAGAGTATTTGAAACACCCTTGTCCAGATTGTGAGGCGACAGGCTATCAAATTCAAAGTAAAATGGCAAGTTTCAATGTCCCTCCGGGTGTGAGAGATGATGAAGTCTTAAAACTAGTCATTCGAGATCAAACAATCTTGGTCACTTGTCGGATTAAAGACGATGATTATTTCAAAATAAATGGAAATGATATTCATACAACCAATGAGATTAGTTTAAGTCAAGCAGTTTTAGGAGGTAGAACGACAATTAAGGGAATTTATTCAAATTTTGACGTCACAATACCGAGTGGAACTCAATCCCATGAGAAGATTAAAGTGAAAAATGGAGGTTGGCTTAAAGAAGATCAATCTTATGGAGATCATATTGTTCATATTAAGATAAAGATTCCCGAGTAAGTTTCAAATTATTTTATCCATGAAAATGTTTATTGTTTGTATGGAAACTTTAATCAAAAACAATTATCCCCGTGAAATCTTTTCTATTTACAGAAAATTATCTCGACGTCAGAAGAAAATTTGGCAACAATATTCTCTCCATGACGAAGATAATTCAGGAACCATTGATGGAATATTAGATACAACCGAAGGTAATCATTCAATTAACAGATTCCCAATTAACAATATTATTAACATTTTCTTTTCTCTTTTCGTTCATTTAGGAAAAAAATATATCGATAAAGACCAAAAAGTGGGATTTTTTACCAGAATCAAAAGAGCCTTATTAGGATAACCAATTGTTAATTGTTAAGTTTTTTAGATCAATAAATTGAGTTTAGATTGTAAATTTCATTGGTTTACTAATCCATATGATAGAAATGAAAAGTTTCATGTTTTGAATTCTCATAATCCGGGATTTGGAGATTCTTTTAATCGATCTGACAAACAGAACTTTCGGAAAATCCTTTTCTCCCTGTAATGATTCATCTTTAGCCTTTTCTTGTAACGATTTAGATTTATCAAGAGCTTTATCCGCTAACGAGAGTTTCATTTTCATCTTGTCAGCAGCATTGTCAATGTATTTACGGTCATCTCTCATCATGAAGATCAAATTGGTCTTTTCATTGGTCATCATTTGGAGGATTTTCTGTCCTTGTTTCATTTGGGTTGACAATTTCTCCGCTGTGGTCATTTGTAAAATGTTCGGGGCTCCTTGGAATTGATTTTCAGATAGAACATTTTCCTCCATTTTCATCTCGAAAATACGTTGATCGAAAAATCCTTCAATCTAGTCGATAAATTTACGGAAAAATTTGTTAGATTAAGTGATTAAACAATCGTTCGTATAGTCTATCTACCTCGTGTAGTTCGTTAATCAGATTATTTCTTGTCACCGAGTATTCTAGTAATGTGAGAGCATCCGTTCCTCTGGCAACATGACATAATTCTGATTTATCTTGTAAAGATTCACCGGGTGATATTTCAACAGCTTCGATTTCCCAATTGATATCTCCTTCTTCAATACATTCATCCTGTAAACGCGAAGTTTACGAGACAGAATTCCTGATATCAATCTGGTTACTATTGTTCCTAATGTTGGTGTAAAAGTACCAGTTTTTGTTGGTCATGATGAAATCTTTTCTGAAAGGGCAAATTCAACTAGGTAAGATAATGTTGATTTTTTAAATTCCTATTTCTTTTAATGCCAACATTCAATTTCTCCAATAATTTCAATTTTAAATTTACTTGTTTTAAACGGTGTGTAGTTTAAAAAGTTCCCTTTTTGAGATAAGAAAATAACAAGTAAAAGGTTAGATAAAATTTTTTTCTTACCCTTTGCCTTTGCTATTTTCTTATCTCAAAAAGGGAACTTTTTAAACTACACACCCTTTAGGTTTATCCGGACTATTGAGCGAGAGACATTGTGTAACCCAAGGATCTGCTTCTACAAACCATCTACAGGGTGGTAAGAAAGTTTGTTCCTCGGGGCGAGGCTTAAAATGCGTTTGGTACAAGCGCTTAATTTAAAAAATAGAAATCAAACTAATTATTTATGAGCGAAAATGTCAACAATCAAATTCACTTATTGCGCATCTGAGGGGTGGGTCTTAAGTGGAACAAACTTTCTTACCTCCCTGTACCAACGAGAGAGATATTTCCGTGGTTGCCACTGTTTGTTATTCGATTGGATTAACACCTGAAAATTTTAAGTTTGTTCAAAGGAAAAGAACTAAGAACGGTGTCCTCTTAATTGTTGAATTAAGTGAACAATCAATTTCTCTCTACAAGCGCAGAGGTAAGTAAATATAAAGTTATATTGATTGTTACTCTCTAATCACAACCTCTCTCTAGCTTTTAGGGGTACCTACGATGGTCAGAAAGTTGTATTTTTTACTCATCTTGGCATACACCAATGTTATCAGTGTCTTAAGCGAGTTCCAGCTAATCACAATTGCGGTCGAAATATGAGGTGTTCGTTGTGGTGATTTATTTCATGTTTATCGTTGTAAGCTAAAGTGTATCAATTGTGACTCAATGTTTCATAAGAGAGACACTTAAAAGCTGCAATGATAACGATAAAAATTTGCATATACAATACATATACAGAATTTTCCAGTACATTTTGGCGGTGTATAAATGCACCGATTATGTGTGCTTCAATAGGTTATTTTATCTACTTGATCATTGTAATCATATAACTTGTTAATTGTTTGGAAATCAATCTTAATTTCAAGTATTTTGCATAAACAATTAATTAATTCACCCCCTTCAAATTAACCGCTTTTGTTTAAAGAGAAATATGTTTTTATTGTTGTGACCGTTGTTTTGTTTGATGATCGGTTGGTTAAAAAATGAATTAAAATTAGGGGTAAAAATGCAAAAATAAGGAAAAAAGACCTTCTTAGGGACAATTTCCTAATTAAATTAATATTCAATTGATTTTCCTTCAACTTTATTTGAACCCAAAATCAAAGAATCGGGAATCAACTAATCAAGCTTGGTGAAACAACTTTTTAGTCTAAACTCGGAATCGGTCTGATCTCAGGATTAGTTGATCACTGCTTTTAATTACGGTTGGTGAATATGGGCCTAAGTTCTGATTGAGGTTGAAGGTGAACAGGTGATAATTGGTTAAGTGTGATGGTCAATAACAATTGAATTAATTGTAAAGTAAATCAGATAATTAGAAAGAAGAAGAAGAAAATTAAAGGTAAATGGATGAACGTTGAACTTGCTTGCAAAAAGTGAACAAAATTTCAACACAGAGAATAACAAATAACAAACAGCATAACCTAAGAGAGGAAAAAGAAGATGATGAAAAGAAAGAGAATTAGAAAGAGATGAGGAAAAGAAAGAGAATTTATCATCCTGTTTGGCTCTTTCTTTTTCTAATGGTAACTTTTGGGTTACTCTTTTTTTTCATTCAATTTTCTTTTTGAAAGAAATGGCAAATAAATCGGTAGACAGACACGAGGTGGCGTTCGTTCAATTCTTGTTTTGAATCACCAACACGCTCTTGATGTTGGTTTGGTTTTTTCATCCTCATCATCACTTGAGATGTTGATGATTCAACAACAAATAATACATCTCATAAATTAATCAACTTTAATAGATAAAATTTTGCCTGATTGCTTTAACCTAGTATTAGAAAAATACAGGTATCAGCAAATTTTTTAGAATCAAAGTATTACAAAGAATCAGAAATAGAGAAATGAATTCAAATTAAACATCATAATGATAATCAAGATAAATCTCATTAAAACCAAATTCCGTTTTTACCAAATATCTATAAACATCCTTCAAAATTTTGGCACCTGTTCACTCCTTTACGATGAACCAAAGAACAATTGAGACAATTGACTACAGCATCGACAACCTCCTTCCATGATGAAACGAGATCTGGTCGATATTTATCGAAATTAACCGGCATTGTGATTGTAAAAGTCTATAACCTAGTCTAAGGCACATATTCACCAACCGTGACTTTTTGGACAGAACTACAAGTGTCATTGACGGAGCCATTTTCCGATATGTATTCGGTCAAGTAACGTTTAGTTATAGTTGGACTTTGTCTGGGATTAGAAACAGGGGATAAGGTGTCAGAATGTTGTTGTTGTTTTTGTTGTGATTGTTGTGATGATTGTTGTTGATGATGGTGTAATTGATGATGAACTAACGATAGTGTTGTTGACCCATTGGTCCACTCAGTTGATGATTGTTGCTGTTGTTGTTGTTGCTGTGATTGGCCATGATCAGAGATACACAAAAGATTGTTTTCTTGTGATAAATAAAAATCAACACTGTTTGTTGTCATTTCAAAATGAATCAAATACAAAATCCAATGTACTCGCATATGAGAATAATTTAAAGTGATGTGGGTGCGCCTTTTATTGGCGGCTTGGTTACCATTTCTTTACTGGTTCCCATTAGGGAGGGAATCAGCTGAGTCAGCGTTTTCTTCTTGTTTGGTTAATTCCATTTTTGTATTTGATGAGATTAATGATATGTGATAGTTTCTTTCCATATTCCAGTTTTTAATATATTTTTTGAGTTCTTGACATTTAGTTAAATGTCATCTATCATCTTTAACTTTGCATGTTTCACAGAAATTCCTCTATTGTTTCTAATTGAGGTGATGATGTTTATTAATTTGACTGGGTTTTTTCTTTGGTTTATTCTTTCAAAGAAAGTGGTACCGCTTGGATACATCAATTTTAGGTAATTTGGTGTTTGTTGATTGTAGATTATATTTTGTATCGCTTCTAATCTGATAATTAATTTTTCTTTGTGTGTTCTAAATGTTTCTAGCTCGTTTTTAACTACATGTGTTTCAATTATTTCGTTGCATTTCGTTATTGTTTGTTTGGTTAATGTAATATTTATCGCATAAATTTCGGCTATTGAGTTAATGATTTGTCTGATCTTATTTTCAACTCTACAAGTTTTAATGATTAAGTCTCTTTTCGGATTGCTTTTTGTTATTTGATCTATTATTGTTATTATGGTGGTTATTCCTTTATATTGGTAATGTAGATGTTGTTTTGATGGTGTTATCAATTTAATACATAATAATTCTTTTTCCCTGGTGATTGTTAGAATGTAAGTTGTTTTCTTTTCAAATATTAATTGTTTTTGAATCTCTTTTATCACTTTTGTTTTACTAAAGATTTCCAAAATAGGGAATTCGCTTGGATCTAATTGTTTGTTTATCATAGTTGTTACAATGTTTGCTATATAATGTACTGCCGGATTTTTTATTCCCATGAGATGACCAAACCAAAAGCTTATTCTTTGTTCATAATATATTGCATTGAAGGTTTTCTTTAGGCCCTCTTTTAGTAATTCAATTATTGTTACTTTGCAGTTTTTGTTTCCTCTAAAGATTGAGGTTCCTAGATATTCTAGTGATGAGATTGTAAAGGTGGCAAGAATTTGTTTAAAGAGCTTTAAATTAAGTAATTTGATAATTCTTGCTGTTTCTTTTTCTATTCTTATATTGATTTGTTTCTTGGGACTTCTAATGATATAGCCTACCATATTCGTGTCTCGTTGTAATTGAAAATTTTTTTGGATGTACTGTATTTTTTGTTTGTTGATGCTTAGATTAATTTTTAAAAGCTTCTCTTCTATTATATCAAGCATTTCATCTGTTCTTCGATTTGTCATTATTAGATTATCATCAGCATATGAAAAGGCTATTGTAGATGTTGTACTCCTAAGTTTATTAATTTGTTTCAAATTGATTTGAAACTTATTGGTCTGTTGATGACAATAGTGAACTCATATGAACTCAGAAGATCAACTTTCCAGCCAATTGAGAATATCTCAGGTAAGAAATTTAAACTTTTCGATGGATTTACACTTAATTCAACTGAATTTGGTAAAAAAACGAAGTCTTCATTAAATTTTAGTAGATCCTGTTGGTTGATTAGCACATTATTATGATATAATGAAATGACAACATTTGTTTTGTAATATAAACTAAAAGTTTCATAAAGAATAGAAATTGTATTTAAATCGATTTCGTTTATTTGATTCATTGAAATAAGACAAGGTTTGTATTGGTTAGTGAGGAGAATGAGAAATGTCTAGGTAAAGATAAATGAGTAGGTTGAGATGAGGAGAGAAGTTTGGAAAGAGAAAAAAGGAGTGAGAATGTTTGTTATTACAATTTACAATTTTTAGTTGTTGTTGTTTTTTCTGTATCTATACTCTTGATATATGTTTTGGTATCTCAAATCGAATTTACTAATTCCTTTTCTTATTTGATTTCTCATGGTTGGGCATCTGTTGCTGTCGGATTTGTAACCACTTCTTTTACAATTAACGCATTTAGATAATCGGCAGTTACCCTCATGGATTGGTAGAGCACAATTATTACAAGTCGTAACCATATTACAATTGTGAGAATCATTCGTATTGTATAATTGTAAACAAATGTGGCAGTTGATTGTTTCCGTGATATCATAGAAAAGATGTTCCACTCCTCGAATTGTGATCGCCATTCTTCGTAGTCCTAAACTGATTCTTGCTTCTGGG